TAATACAATTCAATATGTTCTTTAATTTACTTAATGCTCTTAGGCTTCTTCATGTCTTTTAATTCATTTAGAATGTCCAATGCATGCCTAAGAGTGCTTAGAAATGAAGGAGAACGGAAAAAGAATCACAAAATGACTTTGCAAAATTTCTGAAACAGGGCTCTCTGCTCGAGCGTGGCTTTGTTCACTCGAGCGGGCCCGTTCGGTCTACAAAAGTATGGGTTAGTATAATTTACGCTCGAGCAAGATTCTCAACGCTGTAGCGGGGAATTTTGCAAAATCGGGTTCGCTCGAGCATAGAGTTTGCCGCTCGAGCCACAGTGCAAAACTCTGTAAAACTTCTGGGGGCTCGACTTTCACGCTTAAGCGACATTTTCCTCGCTCGAGCGGACAAGTCAAATTCTAGGTTTTCCAAAACTGTGCTTAACGCTCAAACTTGATGTTCAAAGGTCCAAACCTCATATTTTTGGTACAAAAACATGGAAATCCATTATATGATATGAGAACATAGATAATTTGAGATCAATTACTCAAAATCATGATCTAATTCTCCAAATTATTTTTCATCTTTCTTGGTATGGCCATAGTTTATGCATTCAAACTTCATACACACTTCATAGCTTCATGAATCATTCATGCATGTTAATTATTGACTCAAATCCTACTTCAAATGGCACAAATGATGCTCAAAATCATGAATCTCATTAGATTTATGCATGCATGTGAATTTGATGCTCAATCCTTTATGTGTTATACTCAATTGAACATAATCATGGTGAATGCAACATGCATGTATATACAATTCCAATTTCATCACATTCAACTCAATTCTTGCCCTTAGACACATATCATGCTTGAACTCACTTGGTTATAAATTTAAACTCATGAATTTGAGTTCAATTACTTACCTAGAGGCTTTAATCTTCCAAACTTAAAGCTAGTTCTTGAGCTAATTCTCCCAATTCATGAATCTTTTAGCAAAATCTTCAAGGATGCTCTCTTTTTCTCTTTGGAATCGGCTCACCCTCTCTCTAGAGTGTTTATTTTCAGATTTTGAGCTCATGTAATGAGCTTAAGCACATTTAAGTTCTATATATACATTCCCATAATCAACCTTAATTAGAGCTAATTTAATTGTGCTCAAATTAATCAATTTAATCTAATTAATTCAATCCGAATCAATTTTTAATTAAATTTCACTGTAGGCTCCAAAAATCATGCTGAATGCAAAAACATAGTCATTCTGGTTTTCAGCCTAGCAAGCCTCTCAAGGATAGTGTTACAACACTTGTGGTGAATTTGATCAACAGTCATTCTTGCCCTAATACTAGAACTAGCTTCGCCTTGATTTGAGCTTGGTTCTCCATTCCCTTATGCATGTCTTTGTTCTTTTCTTTTGCTCCATTTTCAAAGTTGGTTCATCTTGCAATGTTCTACTTCCTCGTATTGGCTTCCCTGAATTCAGAGAAAAGTGACATTTCCTCACAATTGATTGGATTTCATTCCAATGGATACCCTTGGCTTGATGGTTGACTTCTTTCTTTTTCTTCTTCTTTTTTTTCTTTTGGTTTCTTTTATCCATTTATTTGTGAACTAATGAAAACACTAGGGGGAGAAATTCTATGATGGTGAGGGCTGAAAGCCATCTTATGTTCACCAAAATGATCGTATAACGGTGAAGAGCATCCCCAAGACAATGCAAAATACCACACACAAATACAAATCCATCCTCGCAAGTTTGCAAAAGAAATGACTTAAAATTTTGAAATCATGAAGGACTTTGCACCAATAATTCAAAACCCACTCAAACCATTTGGGGGATCCTTTTCAACACTCGAGCTTATTAACAGAATCTCATTAAAAAACAAATTCAAAAAATTTCTTATTTTAAAAAGGTCACACATGCATTACTGTAGGCATAATAAAATGATAAATGATCAAAAACTTAACTCCTACTTTCTTATTTAACAACAAAACGAAGGCCTGAGGGTACATGAGAGCGACGCAAGAGAAAAGACTCAACTGGTGTAACAACGCAAGAAAAGACAATGAAAATAAAACTCATAACTCAACTATTTACAGGACATAACTCAAAACAAATTGAGCATTCTTGAGACAAAAAGGCTCTTCACTCTCCAAGTCCATTTATAGATTTCAAAAACTAATTTCAAGTAGCCCATGGGAGGGTCCAAACCTGCCTTCAATTCAGCAATACTAACATCCACACCCAGCAAGATTGATTTCAGACTTTGAAACTGAGTCTCACAGATTAAATCTTATAATTACATTGTCTCCACACATCTTCTCGACTGAAACAATTGCTTCTTCACACCATGCCCCTAGTTCAGAAGGCCTTTCCCAAGTGCTTTCGACAATTACCCTAGCTGAGACTGAGATTCATTATTGCAACCACCAGTGCTGGCATTACTGCTTTATCAAGTAAACTTTCCATATCTTCAAAGATTTTGTTCCTTTTGCTCAGATCGAAATCAGAAGATTCAGGAATGAACACAATAGGTTTGAGCTCATTGGCGGGTATCCTGTGTTGGCTAGGGTAATGGTTGGTTGTTGGCAAGCTGTGGGTGGGTTTTATGTTATGGAGTGGCAATCTATTGAGGTAAGGAAGAGGGTTATTGATAGCTTTGGGATTTTCAGGTGGGGTGATGACTTTGTTGTCAATCAAGTCTTGAATTTCATGGCGAAGGCGAAAGCAACGGTCAGTATAGTAACCGTACGACTAATGGAATGTGTAATATTGGGCACAGTCGTGTGTAGGTGGGAGAGGATTAGGGAGAGGTCGAGGATTGAGTGGTTTGAGATACCCTTTCTTCATCAGTACCTTCAATGCATAGGTTAGGCTCATATGGGGTTGGGCGAAGGTTCATTTTTTGGAGGAGGAAGTATTAGGCTTAGAAATATTGGCAAATGGAGTGGCGGGTGTTGGTTGAGTATTCATGGGCTAGGGAATGGAATCAGGATGGGTGTTTCTAATAAAGCATCCCTTTCCATTGTTTGCCCCCTGATTCAAAATGCTCTCATTCTGAGCGACAAAAGTGTCATCCACAATCTTTGCAACAACTTCAATCACCTGCTACTTGTTCAACTCTTTGACCTTCAAAGTCTCAATAGCCCACTGAAGTTGTGCATAGGGATCAATACTTGTCCCGGCTTTGTTCTTGCCACTTGCTTCTGCTTGGTCAAGGATTTAGGTGGCTATATCAAAGCGAGACCCATTTGTTGTTGATTTGTCATCACCCAGACTTGAGATATATTCGGGTTGGCCCTTTTCAACTACGGCTCGCCCTAGGATTGTGGAGCTTTGTGATGGGATCGAAACCCCAAATGTTAAATCTGCCACCGTTCCTTGAAGGTTTTCAATTATTCTTAACATATTAGCAGTAGTAGGTTCGGCCATTTGGCACTCTTTGACATAACCGAACTGGATTGGGTGCATTGATCATGCACAAATCAGTACTTTTTGGAATGAACACCTAAGGCTTGGGTAAATGGGCCGAGGTGATGTATATGCCAGGGTTGAAGGTAGGAAATAGTGTATGGATGAGGTTAAGGTAGGGAAGAGATACTTGGTCATGAATGGGAAGTGGGTTGGTGGTAACATTGGGGTCTTGAGGTGGAGCTATTGTTTGGTTGTTGATGAGATTTTGAACCTCATGACAAAGACGGTAGCAACGATCGGTACCATGACCGCACTGCTGATGATACGCACAATATTTGGTGGGGTTACGTCTAGTAGGCATGATTTCAAAACAGAAAGTCAATCAAGCATGTTAATCTAAACTATCACATTGGTTAAAATTGTTTTAGCAGAAGCCAAAAACAAAAAACTAAAGTCAAAGTGATGAACTAGGGGCATAGTCGAGTTAGTTTTTCTGTCTTTTCTCCATTGTCAACACACTCGCTAGAAAGGGCACAACTGAAGCTAGCCACAAGGGCCAAAAGCTCTCTCCTTCTTTAAGCAGTGAGGTATCGAGCCAAGTGCAAAGCAGGAACTAGAAATAGAGCTGGAGATTCAACCCCCTCATAGGGTCCACAACTTCCAACCTATCCATCAATCACACCTGGAAAAGGATAAAAAAACATAAGAGAGATGGAAGAATAGAGAGATGTGCGCTGAGCAAAAAAGTAAGGAAAGGGTTTTTTAGAAAAAAAGAGATTGAATGCCAAAGTGATGTGAGAATCATAAATAAGAAAGGGTAGGAAACAGCACCTGGAGAAGCAGTGGGCTCCTCGAGAATCGAGAGGACCCTTGTCGGTGGAAAACGTCCTAGTGTTGTGTTTTTTGGTTTATGTTTGTTTTGATTCTTGTTTTGAGTCGTTTTGATTTTGGCCAGTCGTAGGCTCAATACCCGATTAAGAACTTGTTCTCGGTTTTAATTTAAAAATAAATTGTTTTGTGCTCCGAGTGTCGTGACATTCCCAACATGATGTATAAAATAGAACTCTTTCTTTCATAAATTGCAGGGTCCAACCCCCCCCCCAAAAAAAAAAAAAAAAGGAAAAAAAAATTATACTTTGTTAATAAGGTCTATAGGCATATGAGGAACTCAAATGGGTTTCATTATGATGTAACAACCTGTGTACAGATTGAACAGCACACATTTCTTTTCCTTTTATTTTCTTCTTTTTTGTGTACTTGGCCATCAAACATGAACAGAAGCTGATAATGCAAACACACACACACAGACACACATATATATATTCTCTAAAATCATATGCATTGCTTATGTACATAAAACATGATAATATCAAATTGGGATAAATAATTGGACAATTTACATATTGAGCACAATTATCACATAAATAATTGGACAATTTACTTATTTATTATTATTCTTGGATAGTGGAACAATCTCTACATATGTGAGATAAGACTGGGCACATTAATCTTTTTTCAGACTTTAGAATAATTAGAATCTTACGCATTGAGTTGCCCTTTATTTTTAAATAGTGGAACAATTCATTAGAGCTTGGACGTTACCTTATGCTTCAATGTGGATGACAGGATCAAGTGTTACAGGAGCAATAGTAGGTTCTTCCACAATGCACTTGAGATCTTCATTCTCACCATCCAAACAAGCCCTTAAAAATGCTACAAATACCCCTCCTAAACATTTCTTAAATGGGTCCTTGTCACCCTCCCCACTCACACAAGCAAGACTTAATATCAAATTTGGATCATCTAACATGTCCACATGACCATAGTCCTTGGCATAAAAATACCAACTTGGCGGTTTACATTCTGTGAAGAACTCACAATGATTCACTCCATTTGGGGCACATGCTGGGACTATGGCACTACTTTTTTCATGACCTAAGCCGGTACCGATGATAGCAACTGAGATCGGTACCGGTAAATCGAAAGAATGAGGGACATAGGTGAGGATTTTGGGTTCGATTTGGTCATCTATGCTTAGACCGGCAACAGGGTCACACTACTAGAAATATGACTTTTTGCGTCTAATTTTTTGCGACTGATTATTTAACGGTCGCAAAAAATCATTTTTACATCAAAATCTTATTTTACCTCTCATTTTATTGACCCAATCATTTTTGGACATCAAAATCTTATAAAACTTGACTCTCTTTCTCTCCCTTTCAATCCGCCCCTTTTTTCCCCAAATCTGAGCTCTCTCTTTCTCTCCCTCTCGAAATCTGTCTCTCGCTCGAATCTCACTGCCTCTCTCGCTCAAATTTGTCGATCGATTCAACTTTCTCAAGTCCACAACTGTTGAAGATTTCATAATCGGTAAGCCTAAACACATCTTCATCGATTCAACTTTCTCTGTAATGATCCGAGAAATCAAGTGTGCTCTGAATTGCTCTCTCTCTCTCTCTCTCTCTCTCTCTCTCTCTCTCTCTCTCTCGTCTCAGTTTCTCTGTGAGATCAAAGAAATCTCTTCGAAGCATTCATTTCTTGTTCATCTTCACGCCTTTTTCGTTAACTTGTTGCTTATCCACTAATCTCACTGCAATCTTCTCGATCGATCAGGTTGTTGTACAGAAAGTAAAGGAATTGGAGATAACCGAGCATGACTGCTTCTACTAGTACAGTTCAGCTTTTGATTTTCATTTACAGATGATCATAGCAACCTATATATAAATTTCAAATACGAATTATGATCCAGAGAGTTTGAATCTGAAATGATTTTTTTCTACATTTAGAATTGATTTCTCTAGTGTTGCAACCTAGATTTGAATTTCATTGTTTGCTTGCATTCATTGTTTGTGGATCAAATTCTGGAATTCTAATTTGAATTTATGGTTTTCTCACATTCAGAATCAGATCATTGCCTCAACATTGTTCAGTAGTTTTTTGTTGTTGAAAAATTTGTGATCTACAGAGGTCAGATCTGTCCCCATCTATGCTTTTTTTTTTTATTAAAAAAAATTCAACTGATATTTAAAAAAATTCAACTGATATACAAGTATATACAAAAAATCTATTGTGGCTAGCAGCTAACCTGAAGGCCTCTGCTTTGAATTAGGAATTCCTGTTCAGCATGGCATCACTGTAGTGAGATTTAGCTTGATTCAGCTGTGTAAACTGTAATATAAATGTAATATGCTTGCTGTAGTTGATATCTTTTGTAGTACTTGGTCCAGGCAGAGCAGGATTTTTCCATTTGAATTGATGAAGTGATCAAGTTTTCTTTTATGTTGATCGATATTTTTACAGTACTTTCAGGGAATTAATTTTTCAAGCCAATTTTTTGGGTCAACCTTTTTAGTGTGTGTCAATTTCAAATGCTAGTGGCCATGTGTTTAGATCATTTCAGGACAGCACCAAGAAACTTCTGTATTTTTAAGCCAAACAAATTGCGCACTGTGGATGGCTGTTAGTATCCTAGTATTCAGTTTTCATTATTCACTTTTAATGACTTGCAGTTATCATGTAGGCATTATGCATCTCTGGCTCACCGATTTTGAGGCAAGTGAATGGGGTTCCAGCGAGCCGAGCAGACATGATTATTCCAGTTAAGTAATAGTTCCAAAGTTTATATTAACAATTTAACATTTGACACATTCTGGGTTAGTCTTTGTTGGGATTGTGGATACAACATTACAAATCATGGCATATGGCACAAGAAACCAAACCTGTAATAGCACATGCCATGATTTGACCATAGAATCACTTTGGTTTGAGATCAAAGATATGTTTGACTAACATTTGATGTGTAAAATGGTTCGAGTGTCCAATTTGACTGACAAGAAAGATCGTGTTCCATGGATATTAAAGGTTACTTTTACCTCACTAATGTTGTGGATGAAACTTGTCCATGTATTTTCTTGTAAATTAAATAATAATTGATTTCAATTTCAGATTAGAAAAGAATTTTCTGTTAGTTACTGAGAAACTGTCAATTTTTACCTTTGCACCTTTGAAAGTTCTAGAGTTATTTTGGACATTGTATGGGCAATAAACATTTGAATGGGACTCTATATATCAGAAGCTGAAACATATGATAAAATGACTGCTTGTGCATCTGTTTTATGTAGTTATAGAATGAAATCAATATCCGTTTGCATGCAAGAGAGGTTCATATGCATCATTTTGGCCATTTCCTATTCAGCTTTTGGGGGCAATTGGTTAACATGGTATTACTACTTCAGTTCTAAAAGGTCCATAGTTTGTCTCCTTGTATGTTTTTGTACGTCATTATATCTGTTACTCTGCACTTTAGTTCGTATGTTAGGATGGCTTTTTACATGTATAAGGAGATTACATTAGTGAAAGAGTGCGTGAGAACTTAATATGTATTGTTTGTCCCTTCACATATCAAGTTCTTTCATATATCAAATGCATATACACAAAAATAGATACATGCATGTGTGTACTTGTGGAATATATGGTTAGTAGAGACTGGAGAGATCATATACGGTTATGCAGGATAATCAACCCATACAACCAATGTTGCTGATTCATCTTCGAACTTGGAAGGCTTCCTTAGTTGTATAAACTGCAGTCTTCTCTCAGTTTGTTACCATCGTGAACTATTGAGTTCTGACTCTTCCTTGTACCCTGTTAAGTGCTTGTTATTCAGGGGTTTATATAGTAACTTCTTAAATTGAGTTATAAACAGATCTATGTCATTTTATTTTGCAGGTGGCAGAACGGATTCTGTGTCGCCAGCCATTTAATGAATCAAAGAGAGCATATGTGGTGCCACAGTGTGTTGAGGAGCTTCTAAAGTGTTTTTGGCCAAACACAAAAAAAAATTTAAAACCATATATTCTAAAGTTTACTGTTTCAATAGGATTGTGTGTTCAAAAAAAAGTACCATCTTTCGATAGGATTGTGGGTTCAAAAAAAAGTACCATCACGAGCTTTCATTTTTTGCGATTAGTGTTTTGTTTTTGTATTTGTTTGAATCCTAATTTGGATTCTGTGAATGTTTAGATCAAAGGCAAAGGCGAGTGAAAAGTTCAAATCCGAGGCAATTTCGTTTTGGAAGAGGTAAAAGACGTATAGTGTTTTTGTTGATTGTGTTTTGTGTTCCGTTTTCAAGCAAAGAAGTATATCCGTAAAGAGAAAAGGAGAGAGAGAGAGAGAAGGAAAATGAGTTTCTTTTTGGTTTGGATTGGATTGTTATATAACACAACAAAAGAGTCTCTTACTTTAGTATGCGAGAGCACGATAGAGGAGTGAGGAACGCGGTTGAAGAAAAAGCAAAGAAGCAATGCAGAATATGAAGAAGAATAAGAGTACTAGTAATGAAGAAGTTCCCAAGCAGAAAGAGCATCACATAGTTTCATGGTCCCAAGAGGTCTCTCCCTTCTTCTTTGCTTCCTCTGTTTTGTTCTCTTAATCGCTTGACTGGTCGGTTTGTCTAATATTCAATGCATGGATTACTTGACTTGCAGGAGGATGATATATTTCGCGAGCAAATTCGTATTCATGGAACTGAAAAGTATAGATTTTCTAATCAATTTTCACACTTCATTTTTGTGGTATTGATGAATGAAATTAATGGGTTTTTATTGGAATGTATGTTTGCAGTTGGACTATCATTGCATCAAAATTCAAGGACAAAACAACCAGACAATGCTGAAGAAGGTTGATTAGAAAAGGAAGAGACAAAAAAAAAAAAAATGATTTTTTTACATTTATCCTATATTATCCTATATATCGTCCTTTCAATAATTCTTGCTCTTTTGTTTTTTAGTTCATTCTGATTGGATGTAATGACACTATTGCAGATGGTACACTTATTTGAATTCTGATTTCAAGAAAGGGGGATGGTCTCCAGAGGAAGACTTGCTCTCATGTGAGGTACATTTTTGAAATCAAAGTTGCATATCAATACAAGGTAGTCTACCTTTCAAATGCAATTATTGGGATTTTGTTTTTAGCTATGTATTCTTTGATCAACCATTTGTTAGTTGATTAGCTTGCTTTGACAGTATCAGTAAGTTCTGAGTTTAAAGGAAAACAGAGTAAATCTATACTTTGGCCAGACTCATAAAGAATTGTTTTGTTGTCTCCCAAAAGTCCAACAGAAAATACCATATTATATTTTGGATTAGATAAGCATTTAGTTGTTGTCTTATGAGGGAATCTAATACCTTAAGCTCAACCGCAGGCTCAAAAAATATTTGGTAACAGATGGACTGAAATAGCAAAGGTGGTTTCAGGGAGGTATATAAAATTTTAAATATTTGTTTTCTGTTGCAAGTGGAAAAGTTTATGGTAATTATAGTTTAATTTCTTTGTTGCCATGCTTACACAGAACTGATAATGCTGTGAAGAATAGATTCTCCACCCTGTGTAAGAAAAGAGCAAAACATGAAGCCTTAGCAAAAGATAACAATACTTCATACATCAATCCAAACAACAAAGGGTCATCTTTCCAAATGGGTCGAGTACAGCTGGAATATCAGAAAATGCTACACCTCTGAAGAAGTTGAGGTACAATTGATGTAGCTAGCCTTCATTTCCAAGTGAATGCCAATAAGTTGAAATGTTACAAAAATAATGCTTGTAAATTTGAGGCAGTTGTGTGTTCCTGTTTACATATGAATGTTGCCTTTAAATTCAGTTTTTTTTTTTTAGTACTTGAATCTCTTAGTATTTTGTATAAATACTTTTAAGGATGGTTGATGGATATTTGTTTTGTGTGCATAGAAGTTTATATTTTGTATGCACATTTTTTTTTTTTTTGAACACAGATAATTTTGTTGAGGGAAGTGATGGAAAATAATACATGTGTATTAGAATTTTTGCAAATATCACTTTATATTTATTGTATATAATACTTGAATATATATATATATATATATATGAGAATATAGGTTGCTAAAACATTGCTCAGTCGGGTCAGATTTATTTATTTTTTTTTTTTGCGACGGTAAGAAGATGGTCGCTAAATACTCTCATTTTTTGTGACAGCATTTTATGCCGTCGTAAATACCCTGGGTGTGTTTGGTTTGTGTTTGTAGAGTAGTTTTTGAGATAAAAAGTACACAAATTTGTTTAGTTTGCCTTTTATCAGAAATGGTTTTGGAAAATTATTTTAGGATGAGAGTTTTAAAAAAAGTAATTGATTTGATGTGTATAAGAGAGAGAGTGATTTTGAAAATTAGGTAACCAAACAAAATTTTGAGATTTTTTTTGAAAAAATTTATTTGGTTTGATTACTTTTGAAAATTTGTTTGTAGAAAATTTTTCTGAAATTTTTTTCTGAAAAACAAACCAAACAAGGCCGTAGTTCGGATCATCGAACTAAAAATAATTTTTTTTAAA